TTACTTTTGGAAAAGAGATGTCATTAAAATTTATCTTTAAGGTTTTTCAAAGGTTACCTTGGCTGGGCCCATTATCTTCGGAAAAGTGTAAGAGGCGCATCCTTCTGGACTTAGGCCTAGATGACTAAAAGGAGTATGAAATGTTGCCTATTTGGAGAAAAAAATTACAAAGAAATAATTTTTGTATGTGAAATAATTTTTTAAAAAATGATTATTTATCTATACCCTCACATTACTTAGTTGAAAACTTTTTAAAAGTTAGTATTGTGGTATTATACACACACACACTTCATTCTTTTAATGTATGCAGTTTGATAACTTTTAACAAATGTATAGTTATGTAACCACCACCCTAATAAGATACAGAATATTTCCATCACCCCCAATCATCCCCTGTGTCCCTCGCAGCCATCCATTCCTCTCAGCTCCAAAAAACTGCTGATCTGCTTTCTGGTCCTAAAATTTTGACTTTTCTAGAAATTTACATGTAAACTAGTGGCCCAGTGCATGGATTCGTGCACATTGAAAGGAAATTAATTAGAAGAAATACTTTAATATTTAATTGGGCTCCCTCCTCTCTGGTTCTGGGTGCATCACCCAAGAACCACCACTGCCAAGTTACCGCAGCTCGGCAGCTCCTGCGTTGAGTGTCTGTCCCCTGGTGGTCAGTGTGCATCATACCTACTGGATGGTCGGACAGTCACTTAGCTTTTTATATATATAGATGAAATAATATACTGTGTAGCATTTTGTCCTTTTGTAGGCTCTTGTCCTTAGCATGTGGCTTTTGAGAGTCCTGTGTTGTTGTATGTATTACTAGTTTGTCCACTGCATGGATGTGTCATTATTTATCTATCAGTTGAAGCCATTGGTGTAATTTACAGTATTTTGGCTATTATAAATAAGGTTGTTATGAACACTTGTGTACAAGTCTCTGCAGGAACATGTTTTCAATTCTCATGGAGTGGAATTGCTGGGTTGTGTGGTAAATGTATGGTTTAACTTTATAAGAAGATACTAAATTATTTTCTGAAGTGGTGCATCATTTAACATTCCCTCTAGCAGTGTATGAGTTCTAATTGCTCTATATCCTCCATATCCTTGCAAAACCTTGTTATTATTAGTCTTTTTAACTTTAACCATTCTAGTAGGTATGTAGTGGTATCTTGCTGTGGTTTCAATTTACATTTCCCTAATGATTAATAATGTTGTGCATCTTTTCATGCACTTACTAGTCATTTTTATATCTTCCTCAGTGGAGTAGCTATTACAAGTACTTTTCCCACTATTTTTAAATTAGATTATTTTTTATTATTGAGTTGTAAGAGTTCTTTATATACTCTGGTTACAAGTCATTTTCATAATGGTGTCTTTTTCATATTTTATTAAGTCATTTATACTTTATTTTCTGTGAGCTATTTGTGCCTTAATCGCAAATTTTTATATTAAGTTGGTGACCTATCACTCTTTAGATGTATTTTTAAAATATATTAGAGAGATTAGCCTTTATTATGTGAGTGGAAAAACTATTTTCCCAATCTGTCATTTGTCTCAATTTCATCCCAGAGGTTTTTTGATTTGCTTTAAACACTAGGAACAATTTCAATGTTCGTTATTTAAAATAGGTCATTTTTAGTGTTTTTTTTTATATTTCAGAAATATTTCTGTGGTTTTTTGTTTTTTTTACTTTTTTTAAATATATTTTTTATTGATTAAAGAGAGGAAAGGAGAGGGACAGAGAGAGAGAAACATCAATGATGAGAGAGAACCATTGATCGGAACCCGCAACCTGGGCATGTGCCC